AGCCCCTCGGCCGGGGGTGCGTGGCTAGCAGCAGCCGAGCCGGGGGGCTCGGGGTGCAGAGACACCAGCCCAGTGTGATCAGAGGAAGTCCCAGCAGCAGCAGCAGCAGCAGCAACCGCAGCAGCAGCAGGAGGAGAGAGCCCCGGAGGCAGGGGTGCCCTGTCCTCACCGGCAGCCCAGTCGTATCCCCTCTGCGAGAGTTTATAGTGGATGTACTTCAGCACTATCTCCCGGTTATCGTAGCCTCTTCTCCCCGGATGAGCCATAATTCCCAGGAGGAAGCAGCAAGAGGAAGGGAGAGAGGAAGAAGAGGAGCAGGATGAACCCAAAAAAGTAAAGCAGCCAATAATAATAAAATTAATAACACCAAAAATTATAATCCAGTTACTGTATCGGGCACGGTTTCATTCATGATGGTGTGGGGGAGTTCTCAGGGTCTCGGAGGTACTTTTGTCTTCTCAGTGTTTCCTCCTCGGTTTGAGATGCACGGTATAAATAGGGATTAAAATGCTGTAAATACTTTACTTCCAGGTGCACATTTATTACTTATTATAAATTTACTTTAGGACCATTTCCTCCTCGGTGTTGAAATACATCTTAAAAAATATTATACCGATTCAAAATCAGGTGCATTTTCCCCTAGGTGCTGAACTACCACGGACACGAAGGAGCGGACGAACACACACCGTAAAAACTGCAATTCAATACGATTTGCTAAACAGCCTTGGATGAACGTTAATCCAACGCACTTTAAGCTAGAAACCTCAACACTGCTTTTTTTTTGTTAAGTTACACAAACTAAATTTCCTCTGTAAAGTACTTACTTGGACTATAAATATGTTCCGTCAAGTTTCCTCTAAAAAAAAAAATAGCAACAACAAAACCCAAACATCACAAGTCTTCAGAAACATTAAGTTCTGGCCGCTTTGATGCTTCGAGTCACCAAGGGGATGGGAAAGGGACAAAAAAAAATATCTCTACGATTTCAAATGTTTTTTCCCAGACTCCTGTTTAACAGACATCTCCAAAGATGTGTCAAAGCTCAGAAAATCTCGCCTTGCAGCCCGGGAAGGCGAACAACCCCAAAGAGACGGAAAATCCTGGAGACCAGATGAACCACATTTGAATCCAAGCTCTTGCAGAAGTGCTCCGTTTTTCCCTCCAGTGCAACGTACAGACATATGCATTTACGTAGTTTCATTCAGACACCGATCGCAGGAGCCCGGTGCTTCCACACACACGCACGCACACACCAAAAAAAAAATAAAAATAAAAAAACCAAAAACTGTATTTAGGTAATTAATTCTTTTTCACAAGAAAGAGCGTAAAAAACCCCATAAAAAACAAAAAGAAAAAGAAAGAAGGAAAATTGCTTTTGACTGTGGCTCCGGGGAGAAATGCCATTTCCCGAGCAGCTTTGTATCAGAGGAGGAAGAGCCCCTGGCGCTGCCGAGGAGGGGCGCGGACGGGGCGTGTGTGCGGTGTGACTGGTGCCGATGGGGACCG